TGGCTACCAAAAGCACTTCCACGAGGGTCCCACACCAAATTCGCGAATGTTCCTTGGCAGTCCTTTGCCCGATCAGTCAAAGCGGCGGACACGTATGTTTTGGAATTGTCACTCCGTGCTTGCTTGTCTGCATCCTCATCACATGTTATATATATATATATAGGGGGAAGAAAGGAGGATGAGGAGGAGGACCAGAGTAAAACCAAGACTCATCAACGATGTTGGAATACACCCTCCCTCGAAGCTCCCGCTTTGCAGGCCCCCACAAAGTTCCATTTCCACTGAGGGAAGCGCCCCGTCTGGGGACAACCGTGCGGAAATCTTGAAGCGTGCCACAACACCATTCAGGACTTCAACACCACGAGTCAACCAGATTGCTGCGCCTTGACCCCGAATCGTACCAGAACGCCACTCCTGGGACTTGAACACAGCGAATAAACGTAACTGTTGCGCCCTGACAATCCCGAATCGCTCCTAAATGCCATTGCTGGTATGTTAACCGTGAGAACCGATGAAACGCTTGCAAGGTTTTGGAACGAATTCGCGCGGCGCTGGAGCGAGAGCCACAGGTAGAAAAGGAGCTGCCCTCACTATGCGAAGCCTTTGTATTTGTTTGAAACGAATGTACTCGGCGCTAAGCCGAGGGCCACAGTTTGAAAGCGGCCCGCCCTCAACCCGTGAAGATTCTGCCATCTGTTACAGGGAAGTTGAGCGACGCTTAGGAGAGAGCCACATGTTGCAGACCACCCGCCCTCAATCCGTGAAACCCCTGCAAATTTCTTAAACCCATGTGCGCGGTGCCATGGCGAGAGCCACATGTTTAACACCACTTGAAGCTCTTATATTTTTTGTGCGACGAGTGTGTGCTGCGCTCAGGCGACAGCCACATTTTGGTAGCGACACGCCCTCCATCTGTGCAGCTGTTGCCAGTCTTTAAGCTTCAGGCTCAAAATCAATGGTAGGGAAGTCCCACGCGAAACACATGACCCGCCCTTCTGACTGGCCTCGGGGTGCGGCAGGGAGCAGTCACTCACAAGGAACTGGAATGGAGAAGGATGAGGAGGAGGAGGAAGAGAAGAGGGAGGAGAAGGAGGAGGACCTTGTGGTGCTTTCCGGGTTTCAGGAAAGCACCTAGAGGGCCCAATTTTTAATACACACACACACACGCACACTCACATTTGACACAAGCCGCTTCGTCGTCACGGACGGCGTTGTGTTGAGTGTATGGGATGATTGGTTTTGTTGGGCTGCTCTTGATCTCCCTTGGCGTTCCTTCGAGCACTCCCGGGCCGTCCTGGAGAGCTCCCTTGGGGCCTGTTGGGGTCTCAAGAGAGCCCCGCGACAGCTTCAAATTTCACACATACTTATCACAAGCTGCAGTCTCGTCAGGGACGGCATTGTGTTAGTTGAAAGTGTTGGCTCATGGGGCGCTCGTGGGGCTCATTTGACGCCCCTTCGAGCACCCCCAGGCCGTCCTGGAGGGCTCTCCTGGGGGCCTTTGGTGGTTTCAGTAATGCTTCAGGAGGTTCCAACATGTAACACGCATGTAACACAGACGCCAGCCTCGTCACGGACGGCGTTGTGATATATTTGTGTTAGAATGTTGGGTCTCTTGTGGTATTCCTGTAGCTCCCTTTGGGTCCCTTCGCGCCCTCGCAGGCCGTTGTGGAGAGCCCTTGTTTGGGGGCCTCTCGGGCCGCGTCCTCGTCAAAGACGGCGTTTTGTCGAAAGTGCAGTAATCTCTGTTGGTTTCTTGGGCCGCTCTTGGGGCTCCTTTGGCGCCCCTTCGACGGGTAGCATCGACGAGGAACGAATCGTGCGAAGTCACGAGGCGAGGCGACGCGCGACCCCGAGCGCACTTTGCTGCAAGCGCGGGGTTCCGGGAGGGAAGTTGCGCGTCGCGGTTATTTTGCCTGTTTCCAAGTCGTCCCGGAAGGCTTTTTTGCTTGCCTTTGGGGGTCCCAGGGGAAACACCAATCTAGCACGAACTGTAGCCTCGTGAGAGACGGCGTCGTGCTCAATTGAAGGTATTGGCTCTTGGGGCGATCGTGGACCTCCTTTCGCGCCGCTTCGGGCACTCCCGGGCCATCCTAGAGGGCTCTCTTGGTGCTTGCGAGGGTCTCAAGAGAACCCCGGGAGTGCCCCAAATATCACACATATTTAGCACAAGCTGCAGCCTCGTCACGGACGGCGATGTGCTCAGTTGAACGTGTTGGCTTTTGGGGCGCTTGCGGAGCTCCCTTGGGCCCCCTTCGAGCACGCCCGGGTTTCCTGGAGTGCTCTTTTGAAGGCCTTTTTGTGGGTTTCAGGAGAGCTCCAGGAGGGCCCAACATTTCATCGGCAACACCCAAACATAGTTATACTACATGTGCGTCGCCCCCCCAGGGGCGACGCGCGCACCGAGAAATCTTATAGTATATGCGTCGTGGCGGGCGCTTCCTGGCCACACCGCTCGGGAAACGATATACTACAAGATGGGTATACTATATGTTCGGGTCGGACGCGCGCCTCCAAGGAGGACATATAGTATTAGTATGTCCATGTGCGTCCCATTTCACACACACACACTTTCAACAAGAACTGCAGTCTTGTCATGAACGGCGTTGTAAAATTTGTACGAGAGTGTTGCGTATGGTGGGCCACTCTTGGAGCGCCCTCGGCGCCCATTCGGGCCCGCCCAGGTGGTCTTGAGGAGCTCTCCTGGGAGCCTGTGGCAAGCCCAGGAGGGCCCAACATTTGACACATGTATCACGACACCGTCCTTGGCGAGGCAGCGGCTTGTATCAAGATCTGTGTCGTAAGCTCGGCCCTCTTGCGGTCGTATCGAAGCCCACCCGAGGTCCCGAGGACGGCCTGAGAGGCCTCGAAGAAGCTTCGAAGTCCATGGAGTTGAATGTGCGTTGCCTTGTCGTTTCTCTTGGGGCGTTCCCCAATCTGTCTGGGGGCCTGTCGAGCCCCTCCCGGGCCGTCTTGGACGCGAAAGACGGATCGCAGCAGGCGCACGAATGTCTTCAGGAGTATCTGAGCGATGTTTCCAGAGAACACCTCCCGCAACGTTTACACCGCTGTCCCGGAATAGTTTCCGTGATCCGAGCGGATGCTCCGAACCACGCCGCGGAAACAAGAGGAGGGGGGGTGTCGAGGACGATGCGACGGACGACGACGACCCCCACGGCCCCCAGAAGTTTCAGGGTGTCTCCCAAGACTTGGCACGGGATGCCACGGAAGGGCCAATTTCGCCCATGCCCGCGCAAAAAACTTGTAGAGTCGACGACGATGACAATGACGACGACGGCCGCGGCTGTAGCGACGACGGCGGCCAGGACTCGCACGCTGGAGCGAGATTCGGAGCCCCAGGCCCTTGGCAACCACGGCGACGAAATCGACCCCACGATGCTGAAAATGGCCGAAGATACTATGCAAACGTCAATACTCCACCCTGGATCCTGCATTCTCCCTCCTCGATCGTAGACGAATGCGACTACGGTGGCGCCGAAAACGACGACCACGACCACAACCACGACGACACGGCGGAGACGACAATCACGACGAGGAGTTCAATGCGGCCTCCAGAGGTCTGACGACGACCACAGTGACGACGATCCATCGACGATGGTCGACGGTCTCCGCAAGTCTCCATATTCCGGAGGCCTCAGGAGACCCCAAAACCACAATGCGCCCCTGAATGTGCAAACGTCCGTTCACGCCCACAGACGACGACCACCACGACCACCACGGCTACTACAACGACCACCACGGCGATCATATCACGACGGCGGCGGCTGCGGCGGCGGCGGCAGCGGGGGCGGCGGCGGCGGCATGGCGGCCCGAACCCTCCGCGGCCCTCCGCGGTCGCATCATTTGCGCAGCCTGGGGAAGTTTCGGAGCCTTCCTACGCGTCCAACCTCGATCTCGCACGTCTCCACGATTTTCCACAGAAGGCCCAGCACCTCCACACGCCAGGGGCGGTCCTCTGCCGGGGGGGGGCTTTCCTTCTGTATCCTGGGCGTCGTGGATAACCGCAAGGTCTTCTGACAACGACTTCGCAGCCGGCTAGAACCTAAGCGCACACTTTTCTTGCGCGTGATCCTGGTGAGCGTGCATCTATACGTGGCTCAGTGGACCACAGACGGCGACAACGGCGGCGACAACGACGGCCCACGACATACAGGAACGGCGACGAGGGCGTGGGCGACGATGACCACGAATACTTTCGACGCGGCGACCCGGGTCGACTCCCTGACCCCCTGACCTGTCTTGGATCGAGCGCACTTTTGGCCATACGTTCGAAGTGGAGGCGCTGTGGCCACGAGGGCGCCCCAGGGGCCCAGGAGGACACCCAGAACGCTTGCGAACTTCGACCAGTCGTCGGCCCCGGACGTCCGAGTGTGTGATTTTTCCACCGTGCGGGGGGGCCCTTCCCCGAGGGGTGGTTTTCGTCCGTTGGTCTTGGGGTCCGTGGGCGGGCCCCTGGAGGCCCGACGTCGAGGAGAAACGCCCACGGGGGATGCAGAAGAGGGCCCCGAAGGGGGGCATGCGTTTTTTTTTTTTGGAGCCAGCAGGGGCCAAACCGGGCCAGCAAGGGCCACACTGGGGTCCTTTGTCTTCCCCCCCCCCACCCATTTGGTGCCTGTCTGACTGCAATAGGTCGCAGAACCACTTGTTGCGCCGAGCCGGAGGTGTGGCCAGACTGGGCCAACACTTCCACCAGCTAAGCAGAATGCGTGGCCAGGCTGGCGATGTTTCGCATGGCCACATCGCCTCCGCTCGAAAGCCGACCGTGCTCGCTTCTTCGTCCGAGATGTTGTGCATCCGACCTTGGCGCGGGGGTCGGGGCCAGCTCTCGCAAGGTGTCATGTTTGGCCACCCCCCATGACCACCTTCCCGACGATCCTCGGAGATCTGGGGTCTCCGATCGCCGGGCGGCAGCTGCAGGCCGCTCGGGGCCGAGGGCAAAGGCCGCCCACCGGCCGCTCCTCGGGGGGCTCGCTCGCCCGCAGGACGGCGGGAGGTTCTGCCAGCTGGCCGGCGCGCTCCTGGAGCGGATGGAGGACCTGACCCAGCAGGCCGGGGCCGCTTCTGAGAGTCAGGAGGAGGAAAAACACACAGACACAATTAATCGTCGACCCCCTCAGAAAATATTGGAAAATATGGGAAGTGGTGGGGAAGACAAAAACTAAGAAAATATGAGAAAATATGGGGAATCGTTTTGTTTGTGTGTATTTATTTGTGTGTCCCAGGGCCCCTTCAGAGAGCCCCGAATCATCAGGGCTGGGGGCGGTCGGGGATAGCTGCAGATTCGTGCCTCGGGGGCCCACACCGGAGTTGACCCTGGACCGCAGTTCTCCCGGATAGTTCGGGCGTCCAGCCCTCCCGAATCATCAGGGCTCGGGGCAGTCAGGGGAAGCTGCAGACTCGCGCCTCGGTGGCCCAAACCGGAGTTACCCCCGACCGCAGTTCTCCTGGAGAATTCGGGGGTCCAACCCTCCCGAGGTCGGCGACGACGATGTGATGCGACGACGATGTGGTTTTTCCCATCACGGTATTCTTCCTCGATTTCGGCCTCCCGGGGCCGTTTGTGGGTCCCGGGGCAAGTAAGCAGGGGCCCAGGACGAATAACTACCTCCAGGGAATGGGGTCAGGAGTTCTGGAGCCGCTGCGGGCACGGCATTTTTTGTCACACGGGGCGTGTTCGCCAGTTCTCGGGCACCAAGATCATGGTTCGGCTCGGAAAACGCTGCAGACAGATGGCGCCTGGGGCTCCGCTCGTGATGTTCGCGATGTTGGATTGGTTTTGCGACGTCCGATCTCAGGGAAAGACGACCAGATGACGACGCCGATCAAGCTGACGACGACGGCTAGGACCCGCGAACCTTTCCAGGCTCTGTCCCGGGGCGCGTCCTGACAAGAAATTTCGAGGCAGGCTTAGCCGTGGCCACTTTCGGGAGGAGGTGGGCCAGGACCCCCGCCTCGCGTCGCGATAAAAGCACGGCAGACGGGAGTTTGTTTTGAGATTTTTGGCCTGGGGTGGGCTTTTCCATTCCAGGACCGTCAAAAGCGACCTGGGACGAAAATGCAGGCTTGGGGCAGGCGTCGAAACCCGTGGGAGTCCACGATGACAAAGCTCACGACGTTTCACGGCGTCGGGGGGCTGAGATATGGACGCCGACCGAAGTCTTTGTCGATTTTGAATCAGATTGGAGATGTCGCTCGTGTTCCCCGGTGTCACCTCTGCGAGCAGCGCCGAAGTCGAGAGTTTATTCCCGCCCAGGCAACCGTGAGTGCCCGAAGTGCAGCACGGCGTCTTGGGTACTCTTTGGCCTTCCCAGGTCAATTCGGTCCTGGTGGCCCATCATTCAACTTTCAGGGCCAGGGAACTGACTCGACGAGTCCCCCCCGCGATGCTACCCAGTACCAAGCAGTCATTGTAATCGCCGCCGCATGGGCTCGCAAACTAAGTCGCGGGTGGCTGGGTGTGGTGATTGCGCGAGGAGTGGAGTTGACAACCTCGAGTCCGGCAGGTAATAGGGTTGCGCGACGTAGATCGAAGCACATAATTGGCACAAAATATGCTGCCCAACGCAGATCGCATCGCATATATTGCGCAATATCTATTGCGTCGCATATTCTGACCCGCGTACATTGCACCACACATTCTCTGTTCTAAAATGGGAAGCCCCCACGGATTATCGATCCACTGTGGGGATGCGCAGTTTATACGTGATTCTTCCCCGTCGTTCCTTCTAAAAGTTAATTTGTGCCGCCCCCGGCAACACGGCTCCCCCTATCATCCCCGTCCGATAATTCAATGCGCGCACGCTCCTTTATGAACAACGGTACGAAGTGCACGCGCGCGCGTCGTCGCGCGCGCATGCCGCAATATTTCAGTAGGTTCCCGGCGGATTTCTGAACCGAGTGGCCCGAAACACACACACACACACACACACACACACACACGCACACGCACACGCACACGCACACGCACACGCACAAACACACACACACGCACACGCACACGCACACGCACACGCGCACGCGCACGCGCACGCGCACGCGCACGCGCACGCGCACGCGCACGCGCACGCGCACGCGCACGCGCACGCGCACGCGCACGCGCACGCGCACGCGCACGCGCACGCGCACGCGCACGCGCACGCGCACGCGCACGCGCACGCGCACGCGCACGCGCACGCGCACGCGCACGCGCACACGCACGCGCACGCGCACACGCACACGCACACGCACACGCACACGCACACGCACACGCACGCACACGCACACACGCACACGCGCACACGCGCACACGCGCACACGCGCACACGCGCACACGCGCACACGCGCACACGCACACGCACACACACACACACACGCACACGCACACGCACACGCACAAGCACACGCACACGCACACGCACACGCACACGCACACGCGCACGCGCACGCGCACGCGCTCATGCATACGCACACGCACACGCACACACGCACACACGCACGCACACACGACCACACGCACACACGCACGCACACACACACACACACACACAAACACACACACAGACACACGCACACGCACACGCACACGCACACGCACACGCACACACAAACACAGGCATACACACACGCACACGCACGCACCACGCACACACACACACACACACACACACACACGCACGCACGACATGTCTGCGTGCGCGCTCTTGCGAATTTCCCAGAAACCCATTCTAGCATCCTGGTTTTTGCATCCGAAGAAGAACGCGTGCGACCAAACGGGCGCCCCGCGCGACCATGTCGAAATCATTCGAACGTCGCTTTTGCGCGGGCATGTGTTGGGGGCACGATCCCTGTCCAATAACGCCATGAGGGCCATTCGCGCCCGTAGGCAGCGCGCGTCGGCCAAAATCCTTCCAACCTTTTCTTCACCGACGCGTGTACACCGTCATCGTCATCTGCGTGCTCAGCATCGGCGCCGTCATTGGCCTTGCCGTCGTCATCGTCATCATCTTACCAGCATCGTTATGATCCTTTTATTCGTGTTTACCGTTGTCGACGTCGCAGTGATACCTTGCCCGCCCGAGTCACCGACTCGCACTGTAGCGCCCGCGAGCAAGCGCGGCCTGCGAGACGCGCGGGGAGGTGCCCAGCGGTCAGCGCCACCGCGGTCGCGTCAGTCGCGCCAAACTAGCTGGCCGCTGTCCCGCGTTCATTGGCGGGCTAGCACGGACGAAGCGAGGCACCCGCCGTCACCAAGCGCTCATCGCAATCGCCGCCCTATGGGTTCTGCACACCAAATTGCGGGTAGGTGGGTGGGACGAGTGCGCAGTAATTGGAGTTGACAATCCCAAGTCTCCCAGAATGAATTGAACCACAGAGATTGCACCCCATATGTTGCACCACGCATGCTGCACCAAAAATATTTATTGTTCCACATAGATTGCGCAACGTAGATTGCTAGGAACACAGCATTTGGGGCCCACGCTAGATAGCAAATGTATGCCATCATTTGCTTTTCGACCAGGCCGGTAGGGTCTCCAGTGGGGAGGCCTGGGGCCGTACCAGGGCGCCCCTCCTGTGTGTTTCGGCTCACCCCCGGCGTGGCCAGGTGCACGCCGTGCAGCTGTCCCTCGCGGAGCTCCGGGGCGGGCCGGCGGGCGCTGCCGGTGCCCAGGAGCGCGGCTGGTTGGGGGGTCGCCTTTCAGACGCAACGTCCCCCGACGAAACTTCTCGGTCGGTTTTGGAGGCCGCTGCGCCCACCGCGGTGGCCACAAATCGGGGCGCGTCTTTTGTCCAGGACGGGCATGCCCCGTGCTAGTGCACCCCCCCCCCGTTCTGCGATGTAAGCGTGGGTCGTCGCGACTAACGATATGGTCACAGAGAAACTGGGACTTGTCAGTTTATGTCTTGCGTGGGCAGATTTGCTTTTTGGTGAGGGCCCCGTTACCAAGCAACCAATGGGCTCAGGGGGAGGTAGAGGCACCGATGCCGGCGCCCTTACGTCGTTTCCGCTGTGATGGCAGGGAGCCTTAGTCGCCACCTTTGGATTCGCCTCGAGATTCTGGTCAGAGCGCACCCTGTGGGATGTCCAGGGAGAAGCGGTGTGGGGGTCGCTTTGTTTCCCGATCAGGGGGGTTGTTCGAGCTTCGAGGTTCGAGGTTTTCCAGCGTTTTCGCGGGTTTTCGTTAGCTTTCCAGCCTCGTGGTTGCTCTCCAGCGTCACCGGGGGGGAGGGGAGGATGGAGACAGCAACGTCATTCCCAAATGCAAGATGAGATGGGAGGCTCCCAGGAATTACACCAACCTTGCAACAGCGCCTTGATAACCCATCGAGGAAGCCCGCCTGTGCCGCGGGCTCAAGGAAGTTTGAAGGGGATGGATCGAGAGAGGGGCGTTTGGGCCTTTTCCGGACCCTGGCCGTCAACAAGAGTCGAAGGAATTTGCTGACAAGCGCCAGTTTGGAGTCGGCTTGGTGTCTGAGGTTGCCCAGCCATGGTCCCAGCGAGCAGGAAGGGGGTGCAAGGGGTGAGGTTTGGGTTTTTTTTCTGCATCAGGGGGCCGCTTTCGGGCACCAGGAGTCAAAACGGATCCGGGGCGAAAAACTATAGGCCCCGGGAGGAGTCCAGGGACAGATTTAGAGTGGATCCGGCTGCATTCCTTCCTCTTGACTGATATTCGTGGGTCCCAGCCAGCTCAGACCCCCCGTCCGCCTCCAAGCGCCAGCTTCCCAGTTGGTGGGGAGGGGATCTGGCGATGCAACAGGTGATCAAGGAGGGTGGCGAGGAGATGTGGAGGAAAGAGATTTTCTGGACAGAACAAGAGTATCAAGAGCAAGCAGCCGATGCGAGTCCGTCAGCGTTTAACTCATGCGTTTGGGACCGAAGGCCTGTTTTTCTTGCACGCCAACGCGCTGATGGATTGCCCACGGTGGAGTGTCAGTGAAACTGCCTTTGCTCGCGTAGAGAAGGGGCGCGAGGCTTGTCGAAAGAATGGGGGAGGATGGAGCTGAGAGGTGGAGGCCAGAGTGCGGGGAGAAGTGATCAGCCCGCTCCTTCTACTTCGCTGGGGTTCCCTCCCCCCCCGTTTGGCAAGTTCGTGTCGTGTCGACGCGGCGTTGAGCTCGGCGCAGGCATTCAAGGTCGAACTCCGCCAGTGACCGACCACTAGCCGATGTTGAAGGTTTCGCGCTACCGGGAAGCGACGATCGTGTTGAACGACCCACGCGGCGTCTGAGACCAACGCCGAAGTCGCCACGTCAAGAACCTGCCGTACTTGTTACCACCCCCTATTCTCTTCCATCTCAATCCGTCACACTGCGAGAAGGGAAAACAGACACACAGACACACGTAATCGTCGACTCCCAGCCGGGAATCATGGAATTTGTGTCTATTTGTTTGTGTGCTCCTGGGCTCCTGTAACATTATCTGTTTGGCGCGCTTCTCTCATCCCTCCTCGGCCCCACACGTGCTCGATCGCCCCCTGCTCCCCCGCGCAGAGCAGCCCTGGGCCACTCCTCAAAAAAACACCACACAGCTCGGCCTCAGCTCGGCGAGGATGTCCTGCAGCAGGCCCTGGAGTCCGACGTCGCGAACCGAGGGCAACATCGTCTGGGAAAGGGAACGCACGACCCGAGCCATCGACCCAACTTGCTGCGGCACCGAGGCCTGGAAGCCAGGCGAAAACGCACGCCCGGTGTGAAAAAATGCGAATCCCAGATGCGCGCAGCCGACACGTGAGGAGAGAAATCGAGCGTGATCGGTATCAGGGCACCCTGGAAGCAGCCGCCACAGCGAGAGTTTTCGCTGAGTCGGTCTGGCCAGATACTGCTGGTTTGGTCGCTGCTTCGCCCCGCCCAGACCGCAGATATCAGCGGCCACCCATTAGGCGGCACAGACAGGGCACAGCAGCGCGTGGACGAGAACTCTTCCGAGGAGGGCAGCGGCCCGCGGTCCCGAAGGGTTCGGCGGCTCCTCTCCGATCAACTGCCGTGGCCAGCACGCCAGCCAGCCCCACTGGCAAAACCACCCAGCCCACAAACAACCGCCAAGCAGTCCAACCAGCCCAACCCGCCACCACACCAGCCCGCCTACCCCGCCGCCGGCCCTCCGTCGCCACCAAGGGGGGGTGCGCGTAGGAAACGAAAACGGCTGCGAACTGCCCTCCGGGGGCCAGGCGGACCAGCCCGGAGGAGCCGAATCGCACCGCACCCTGGGAGGCCGGCCTCCGGGGGCACGCGCGCCCCGAGGACGGCCGGGGTCCCGAGGGCAGCGCTCGACTACACGTAGGAGGGACCTTTCTCCTCTTCCTCCTCCTCCTCCTCCTCCTCCTCCTCCTCCTCCTCCTTCCCTCCTCCTCCTCCTCCTCCTCCTCTTCCTCCTCCTCTTCCTCCTCCTCCTCCTCCTCCTCCTCCTCCTCCTCCTCCTCCTCCTCCCCTTCGTCCCCCGTGCATGGTTTGGTTTCGCTCGAACTGTTATCCCAAGATGGCCCAGGGTGGCCTCTGGCGCGGGCCCAATGTGGCCCCCCGGTCGCGGATTGCGATGCGACAGCAGCGCCCTGCGCGCATGGTTCGGGCCCCCTCGCGCCCCCCCCGAAAGCCGCGCACCAAGGGTCACTCTTGCCGAGGGTCACTCCTGCGTGTAGCCGAGATGCTGTCGTCGACCCCTTCGTTTCCCAACATCCGCGCTCTGGACGGAAAAGTCATGGCGCCAACATCGCAGAGCGGATTCGTTCGGAAAACAACAGGATGGGCCTGGAGTGTCCTGGAGTATTTCGTTCCGAATTTCGAGGTGAATTTCGTGCGGATGTTCTTCGGACGAATAATGAAGATTACAAAACATCCACGTGGAGTTCACTTCGTTTCTCGCTCGCCGTTTCGGTGTCTTGCGAACAAAACTGATAACGCGAAAGGACGCAGTAGTACTATCAACAAGCGTCACGACGACGTTCCAAAGAGTACATGTGATCAAGTTGGTGTCTACCCCCCGCGAGGGGCGTTACAGGGCAGAGGGAGTTCTGGATATTTAGCCAGCGTGAACCCAAACAGTTTGTTGTCGCACTCTGGAGGTGGAGCACATGTTGTGCAAGCTATCAAGTGTGTAAGCTGTATCGTGTAAGCTCTGCGGTGTGAACTGTGTGGTGCAAGCTGTCATGAATAAGCTATACGGTGTAAGCTAATGTTGTGTGAGTTGTGTTGGTTGTGCTGTATGGTGCAAGCCATGTTGTGCAAGCCGCGTGGTGCAAGCTATGCGGTGTAAGCTATGTGGTGTGGGCGATCCGGCGCGAGCTATCTAGTCTATGTGGTGTGAGCTACGTGGTGGAAGTTACGCAATCTATAGACGATGTTGTGTAAGCTGTGCTGCCTAAGCCATGTGGTGCGAGCTATACGGTGCAAGCTGAATGCTGCAGCTGTGTGGTGCAAGCTATGTTGTGAGAGCTACGTGTTGTCAGCGCACGGGGCGCCCACGAGGCGCCCCCGAGCGGGCACGGGCGCCAACGCGGTGAATCATCGGCAGACCTACGCAGCGCACTTAGAGCGCCCACGAGTCTCCCGCGAGCGCCCGGGAGTTCAGACGCCAGCGAGGCGAAACATCAGGAGACCCACCCACCGCACGGGGCGGCCACGAGCGCCTACGAGCGGGCTCGGGCGCCGACGCGGCGACGGCCTCGGAAGCCCATCCAGGTGCCTCCGAAATCCAAGCAAGACGCCCTTAGTGCAAGCATCGCTGGGGAAATCTAAGCCGAGGTGCCCTCGAGACGAGGGTGCAAACCCAGAGTTGTCAAGGCAGATCTGGAACACAGGCGCGGCGTGCATCACGTCTTGGCTCAAGTGCAGGCTGCTCTGGGCAATGGGACCCAGCCGCCTCTGGAAAACGTTTGACGGTCACGCTCGGCACGGCGGGTACGCAAGGCGGATCGGATGAGTGCGGGCGCATGCAGGCACCTAAAACACAGCCGCGGAAGCCCCCGGCGTGAGCCCTCCACGACGTGCGGGTGGGGAGGGTCGCGGTGCCCGCTCCCGCAGGCAGAGCCGGCGCGGAGGCTCACCTGCCGCGGCTCGCGCCCGCGCGCGGAGGCGGACTGAGGGCGGCGCCGCCCCACACCCTCTCCGGCCGGGGTGCTGCCAAGAGGTGCCCCCGGCCCCGGGTGGCCCCCCCTGCCTCTTCCTCCTCCTCCTCCTCCTCCTCCTCCTTTTGGGCCGTGGCCTGAAACTGAAACAAACAACGTGCATTTCGAAGCGGGAAGATCGGGCCCAGCATCTAAGTCCCAGGCCCTCCCGCGTCTTGACAGAGTCACGACGTGAGGTGTGAGGCCTGCGGCCAGCTTCGGCTTCTTGGGGCCATGCGCCCTGCTGGATCCCGGGACCGTCTAGAAGCTGCTCACGAGGAAAAGCCGGCCCTGGGCAAAGGGTCGGGACTTCCGGGGGCCCCGTGTCGAGGGAGGCAGGGCGTCGGATGTCCAGGGAGTCGGCTCCAGCCCAGGGTGGCCCCCTGCCCCTCCGGGCGCTGGCGCTGCAGGCAGCGGTTCGACGGTCCGAGCTGCTACGCCCACCCCCCCCGCCCCCACGCACCCCCCCCCCCTCCTGGCGCGGTCGCCCCCTGGGCGGGATTCGAACTGGGTGCTACGGCGGTGTATCAGGAGGGAAAGAAACACACAGACACAATTAATCGTCGAGTCCCAGGAAAATAGGGCAGAATATGGGAAGTGGGGGGGAAGACACAAACCCCGAAAATATGGGACACGATGGGGAATCTTTTTATTTGTGTTTATTTATTTGTGTGTCCTGGGGCCCCTTCAGTGTAGTCGGACGAACGAGCAACAACACGCACCCATACCCATACGGAGGTCGTTGGGAGGAGGACTGGCTATGGTATGGGGTGCGGGTCGTCGGACCCCAGGGAGCGCTCCCGTCCGAGCGTGGACCCCATCCGACCACACGCATGCATAGCCCCCTCGGACCCCCTTATAGGTATGGGTGTGTCATGTTGATTCGTCGTAATCGGCGGCGGGCGAGAGGGGGAAATGATGATGTTATTACTCCGGGTTTCTTAATCAGAGTGAGGGGGCCGAATGATCATTCATTGGCCCTGGGTGCGTGGCTGAATAAGAAATTCGTGGTGGGAATTCTGCTTGTTGCGTTGTTGTTGTTGTTGTTGATGGTGTTGTTGTCGTTGTCGTTGTCGTTGTCGTTGTTGTTGTTGGTGGTGGTGGTGTTGATGGTGGTGCTGTTATTGTTGTTGTTGCTGTTGCTGTTGTTGGTGTTGCTGTTGAAGTTGAAGTTGAAGTTGTTGTTGTTGCTGTTGTTGTCTTTGTTGTTGGTGTTGCTGCTGTTGTTGCTTGTTGTTGCTGTTATTAATGTTGCTATTGTTGTCGTTGTCGTTGTTGTTGTTGTGGTTGCTGTTGTTGTTGTTGTTGTTGTTGTTGTTGTTGTTGTTGTCGTCGTCTCACCCGCGACCCACCCGCGACCCACCCGCGACCCACCCCGCGACCCACCCGCGACCCACCCCGCGACCCACCCCGCGACCCACCCCGCGACCCTTCCGCGACCCACCCCTGACCCACCCCGCGACCCACCTGCGACCCACCCCGCGACCCACCCCGCGACCCACCTTCAAGGGAGGAAGAACCACCCGGACCCGACAATAGACGTTTACTAAAACGACCCTGGTCGTTGACTAAACAGCCCTGCCATGTTCGATTCATTCCTTGCGTGCGTTTACTCAACGGCTTCGCTTATCGGGGTGATTATAATGGGGTGGAATTTTTGCCCTCTGCACCCGCGACCCACCCGCGACCCAACAGCGACCCACCCGCGACACACCCGCGACCTACCCACATTGGTTAACAAAAAAATCGGCGGCGCTTGCGGCGGGCTCATTATATAATTTGCGAAACTATGGCGCCTTCGGCGGGCTTCTCAAAAGTCTCGCAAACTGCCGACGTCCCCCCTCTCACTCTTATCCGCATCTGCAGGGTGCTACGTAAGCGTCGGGGGGGGCGTCACCCCCGCCGACAGCCCCGCATCGACCCCCGTCGCGGGCAGCCACCGCGCGCCGAAGGCGCTCCGACCCCCGTCGCGGCGCGACGACGAGGCGAGGTTGACCCTCGTCGGCGAGTCGGGGGGGGTCCACCCCCACGCTTATTGAGAAACCCAGAGCAGGCCTTCTTGCCAGAAGGCGGGAGATCTCTCAAAAGACCTCTGGCCTTCTGAGAGAAGACTCAGTCAACTTCTCGGGAGGCTGGGGGACTTCCGAGCCGTCTGAGAAGGCCCGCCCCTCCTCATTTCCCCCTCTCGCTCGCCGCCGATGCGAGCTGTAGACGAGGAGCCACGAACGGCAAGGATGACCCCCACAGTAGCCCTCTTCCCCCTCCTGGCCCCCCCCGCCCCACTCTGGGAGCATCCGCGTGCAGGTTCCTCCGCCTTCGATCCGCGGGGGCCGCAGCGCTGCTCCGTCCGCAGGGGGGGCGCCAGCCCTCCGCGAGCAGGCACGTGTGTGTGGGCCGAGGCGGCGCCGAGGAGCGGTGCGCACGCTCTCCGGGCCCTGTCGCGAGGAGCTGCCCCACAGTCGGCCCGGCTCAGTGGGTCGGCCCCGCCCACTCGAGGGTGCTCCTGTGGCCTCTGCATCGCGCGTCGCCTCCCCTGCAGTCCCAGAGGCCAGGGTCCTGCCCTGTGGTTTTGGAGGCCATGTGGCCAGCGGAAGAGCTTTTGTGTCCTGTCGCGTGGTCATTCGGAGAAGAGAAAAAAATGGCGTGAGCAAATCGTCGGAGGCCCCGCGCGGATTTTTCGGATCGGCGCGGGAGACCCCTGGCGGCGCTTCCGGCCCCGCCCTGGCGCGCTATGCGCACCAGGGAAGGGGGCCAGCGCCGATCCAATAAATCAGTGCTTGGATCGGCGCTGACCTCCGACGATTTCCTGCTCATGTAATTTATTTTTCTTCGAGTCACGACTGGCGTTCTCGCCTCGATTCGCGTATCGATAGCCAGCTCGAGCGTTGACCCACGCCGTCTTAGAAATCAAGTTGCCGAATGTGTGTGTGTGTGTGTGCATGGGTGGGTCACTGGCGTCCTCCCAGTCTGCTAGCATCATCGACTGGTCGCAGACGCCTGTCTGCCTAGATGCGTGGCCTTTGCAAGGTGTTCCCTAGCTTCCCACTCCCTCCACCCGAGCTTCTCCGTCTGTTCCCCATCTCCTCTCCTGTTCCTCCTCCTTTCGCAGGAGGACGGAGGAGGGAGGGGGGGAAGGAAGAGAAAGGAGGGATGGGGGGGGGAAGGCGGGGGGAAGGACGGAGAGAAGAAAGGGGGGGAAGGACGGAGGAGGGAGGGAGGGAGGAACGGAGGAAGCTGTGAGCAGAGGGACGGAGGAAGGAGGGAGGACCGATGGCATGCTGGTGGACGCGACGGCCCCAGGCCGCCGCTGCAGAGCTCTTTTTTCGGTTGCCTGTGCTCTGCCGCGGGCTCCCCAGAGCTGCCGACCCCTCCCTTCCCGAGCGGCCGGGTCCGTATCCTGGGCAGTATTTTGCTGGAGAGGCCCGGCGGCCGGCGCCGCCGACCCCGATGACGATTGACGCTGGCGACGAGGACACGGCGGGCACGGAGACGACGACGGAGACGACGAGGAGACGACGCGACGACGACGACGACGACGGCAACCGACGGAAGGGCGTCGTCCACACGTCTTCGGGAGGCCCCCCAAACGGTGCAGTGGCAGCACCGGGTCGCGAAGGAGTCGAGGCTCGGGGCGGCCGCATGGTTCTCTGGGGCTCGGGGCCGCCGACCCGAGGACGTCTCGGGCGAGGGGGGCCTCCGAGGTTCCAGAAAGCCATGGGGGAGGAGGAGGAGGGGGAGGGAGGGGGAGGAGGGGAGGGGGAGGAGGAGGGAGGAGGAGGAGGAGGAGGAGGAGGAGGAGGAGGAGGAGGAGGAGGAAAAGGAGGAGGAGGAGGAGGAGGGGGGAGGAGGAGGAGGAGGAGGAGGAGGAGGAGGAGGAGGAGGAGGAGGAGGAGGAGGAGGAGGAGGAGGAGGAGGAGGAGGAGAGGAGTTTTTGAGGTCTCCACGCGGTCGGCCGTACCGCGAGGGGGACCCCTGGGAAAAGGACTTCCAGCGCCCGAGACGACGGGAACAGCGGCCGGCATGGACCAGTCATCGCGAGGCCAGAGGTCCTTTTGGGGTACCTTCCTGCTCACCCTGCCCTGCGCCTGCTCAGTTCTCCACGAATTCGCGTGCAGGGGCGCTCGCGATCAAGTCGCCGCGCCGTGACGTGTCTATACTGGCTCCGTGCCGCACCTCTCCGCCCGGGCTCTCGCTACCAAACAGACCGCGCCCGCCGCAGCCGTGTCCTTCTCGTCGACCTCCCTTTCTCTTAGTGGTGAGCGTGAGGAGGAGGAAGAGGAGGAGGAGGAGGAGAAAGAGGAGGAGAAAGAGGAGGAGAGAGGAGGAGGAAGAGGAAGGAGGAGGAATGAGGATGGAGGAGGAGGAGGAGGATAATAAACAGGAGGATCTCGTAGGTTCGTGTCGTGTAGAGGCGGCGGTGACCCCAACGCGGACGTTCGAGGTGGAGCGCCGCTAGTGGCCGGGAATCGGCGTCACCCCGATATACCAATACGATGTGTGCGTCGCCCCCCACAGGGGCGACGCGCGCACCGAGAAATCTTTCTAACATAGTCTAATATAATATATCCGTAAGGGCTTCGCCCCATGCCGCCGGCCCCCTGTCTCGGAGAATGGGAGATGCAGAAGCTACATCATGAGGTCTGGGCGCCGCCGTGAAGCAGTGTCGGGACCTGTTTGTTTTTCGACCCTGACCCTGCGGATCTGCGTCACAGGTGCCACCGAATTTCAGAAATGTGGCAAATCCCTTGTGTTTTTGGACCCTGATCCTACGGATCTGCGTGAGGGGTGCCGCCGAATTTCAGAAATGTGGCAAATACCCTCGTGTTTTTGGACCCTGACCCTGCCGATCTGCGTAAGGAGTGCCGCCGAATTTCAGAAATGTGGCAAATCCCATGTGTTTTTGGTCCCTGACCCTGCCGATCTGAGTGAAGGGTACCACCGAATTTCAGAAATGTTGCAAATCCCATGTGTTTTTGGTCCTGACCCTGCCGATCTGAATGAAGGGTACCACCGAATTTCAGAAATGTTGCAAACCCCCTATGTGTTTGGACCCTGACCCCGCCGATCTGCGTGAGGGGTGCCACCGCATTTCAGAAATGTTGCAAATCCTATGTGTTTTTCAACCCTGACCCCGCTGATCTGAATGAAGGGTACCACCGAATTTCAGAAATGTTGCAAATCCCCTGTGTGTTTGGACCCTGACCCCGCCGATCTGCGTGAGGGGTGCCACCGAATTTCAGAAATGTTGCAAATCCTATGTGTTTTTCAACCCTGACCCCGCCGATCTGCGTGAGGGGTGCCACTGAATTTCAGAAATGTTGCAAATCCCCTGTGTGTTTGGACCCTGACCCCGCCGATCTGCGTGAGGGGTGTCAGCAAATGTAAGAAATGTGGCAAATCCCGTATGTTTTTGCACCCTGACCCCGCTGATATGTGTGAGGGGTGCCACCGAATTTCAGAAATGTGGCAAATCCCCTGTGTTTTTGGATTCTGACCCCGCCGATCTGCGTGAGGGGTGTCAATTTTCACCCACTCCAGCAATTCAGACAGCATGCTCAGGGCGTGGTAAAAATGCACGTTGTGGGCCTCCCCCCCTCGCGCGGTCCATCAACAAGGAACAGTAAGCAGCAAGAAGCATAATTGCAACAAGGAACAGTAAGCAGCAAGAAGCAGAACTGTAACAGTGGAAACTGGAAGCTGCAACTGGTACAGGAAACTGCGAAGCTTCGGCCTACAGCCTGGTGGCCCCTCAAGGGGGCCGGCTGATCATATAGTATATTTTAATACAATGGAATGTAATAGAATGTCATATAACGTACTGGTCTACGCATCGTGGCAGGCGTTTTCTGGCCGCACCGCTCGGGATACTGTATTACAAAATGGATATGCTGGATGTTCGGGTCGGACGCTCGCCTCCGAGGAGGACATATAGTGCTGTAGTATGTCCTTGTGCGTCCCAGGGAATCGGCTGCGTGTCGAACGGTCGGCGCTGCCAGCGAGCCGCGATCGTTCTACAGGGCCGGGCGATCTCTGCGCAGTGTTGCCAGGGGCCCCGCGCAAGCCGTCACCCTGGCGCCGTCACCCGGGCCTACCGCACGGTGGGGGCGTTCGTCAAGGAATGTGCTCAGGAGCCTCCAGACCCTGGAGGGTCCCTTGCAGGCGATCCGCTAGTAAGGATGAGCAACGTTGCGAAGTTACCCTCGCGTCCTTCCCCTTCGGACCATCCTTGGCCGCTTTCGCTGGCCGTGCCCCGCTCGCAGAATGTCGACATGAGGCCCTTGCATCCTTACCGCGCGTCCTTCTTATACGGGTTGACTGTATCTGATGAGGGCAAGGCTCAAGGCTCAAGGCTCTTTGCGGTGATATCCATGGCCAAAGCTCAACTGGTTTTCCACCAGCTTCCATCAGAGAGGGAAGGATTTCATAAACGTGAGCTTTCGGAGCTCCGTGCGGATTTCTGGGATCTGCGCCAGGCCCCACTGGCGGCGCCTCCGGCGCCGCCTCTGCGCGCTCCGCGCGCCAGGGAGAGGGTCCGGCGCCGATTCGAGAGATTCGCGCGGGCCTCCATAAGCGTTTTCCTTATGCATTCTACAGCCACCGGATTCCTTATCCAGGGGTTCCTTATCCAATGCCCCCGCCTCTTCCGTAGCCATTTTGGCTCAAGCCGTTTCGGCGCGAGCTGGTTTCTTGAGCTGGTCTCAGCTCGCGTTTGTGCTCACTTACTTCGAAGCGGCGGAGTGGGCACGAGCCAATCTTTCACGACGACGGCCCCACCCGCGGCAGCCCGTGGGCCATGGCGCCGGCACTTTCGGACCCTGGCATCATCCCAGGCGCGAGCAAGACACCCCTCTGGGCTTGCTCCTGCGGGCGGGATGGCAACTGGGCGTCCAGGACGCGCTGCCGCCAGTGCGGCAAGGCGGCTCCCACCCACGTGGTGCAGGCAGCCAAGCTCTCGGCAGCAGCAGCCAACGGGCCAGCTCCCAGCACGTCCCGCCCGCGCGGGGCCTGGGCGCAGGGCCCGCCAGGCCAAGGTCAGCTTCTGGCGCAGCTGCAGCAGCTACAGAAGCAGGTGGCGGAGCTCAAGGGCGAGGCCCCGCCCCCGTCGGAGCCCTGGAAGGGACGCAAGCCCCCGACCAGGAAGGCGCCAGAGGCGGGGGCAGGCATCTCCTTCAAGGAAGTTCGCACCTTCTTGGAGAAGGAAGGGCTGGACACCAGCGCGGTCGAGGAGGCAGAGAAGGCGGCGGAGTCGAAGCTGCTCGAGGGCAAGCAGCCAACTGCCTAGACGCAGCGCTGGCGTGTCAAGGCCATGCGAGACAAGATCAATAAGCTCGAGTCCAGAGAGGCAGCAATTATGGAGCAGCAGGCCGCTTTGGACAAGGAGCTCCAGGAGCTCAGGGTCGCCCTCAGCGAGGAAAACCAGAAGCTCTCGGAGGGGGAGGCCAAGTTGGTCAAGTTGCAGGCCAGCGAGTTCCCCGACCCGATCCTGGCAGTGGCGGCAGGGCTGGATGAGGACGTCGTCGCCTGCCAGGAGGCCAAGGACGCCCTCGCGGTCCTGGCCCGCTTGCAGTCCGCGGCCAGCGACAGCAAGAAGGCAGCTGCCTCGGCCAGGGCCGCTGCTGCTCCTCCTGGTCCTGCTGCTGGGGAGCCTGACGCGGGCGGGGAGCACCAGCTTGTGCCAGAATCAGACGACATCGACATGGAGCTGCTCGGAGGTGAAGGCTGGGAAAAGAAGCACGAGGAGTTCGCTGCAGCTTCGGCAGCCCTCCGTGAAGCGACCCCTGAGCAGCGGGAGGAGGCTAAGCGCAAGCTGCGTGATGCCCTGGACGCGCTCTGGGCGGCGGGTAATCGGCCTCGTCACCTTTGACCCCTGGCCCATCGCGTGCCCAGAGGTGAAGCCCAGCCCCCAGCCCAGGGCCGAGGAGGCAGGAGAGGGGAGGCCCGCGGCGGCAGCCAGGCTCCAGCTGGCCAAGCTGGTGAGGCCGTCGGTGCAGCAGGGCGCCAGCTTCGTCAGCATCAACGGCTCCACTTGGGCTGAGTCCCAGACGGCCCTGGAGCAGCTGCTGGACGAGAAGGCCAGGGACGACGTGTACCTCATCCAGGAGACCCGCTTCACCTCGGCGTCGGCTGCTGGTTCGGCCCGTGCCTGGTGCAAGAGGAACGGCATCAACGCGGCCTTTGGAGTGTGCCGCAGCACGGGGATGGCGGTCCAAGCTGTCTCTTCTGGAGTTGGAGTGCTAGTCGGGGAACACCGCGGAGTGGCCCCGATCGACCAAGACTGGGGCCTGCACGCCTCAAGGATGCTGGCGAGGAGAGTCGCATTCGGGGACCTGGTCGTGGTGTGTGTCAGTCTGTACCTGCAGTGCTCGGTCAAGCTCAATGAGACCAACGTGGACCTCTTGAGTGAGCTGCAAGGATTCCTCCTGGGTCTGAGAGAGCCCTTCGTAGTTGGTGCAGACTGGAACCTGGAGCCCAGCCTCCTTAGCAGCTCGTGGTGGCCTCGCGCCGCGGGGGCGGTGATTGTGGCGCCCGACGAGCCGACCTGCGGGGTTGGCATATGCGACTTCTCGCAATCTCCGAGGTACTGGCGGGGCTAGGGCCGAAAGTGACGGTGCTAAGGCATGCGACCACGCACCCGCACGCCCCCGCCAGGCTCACTTTCGAGAAGCTGAGCAGCCAGGCGGGTGTCTGGGTGCAGAAGGGCCCCAAGCCCTTTGAGCTGCCTGCGGCCAAGCAGGAAGGGATCCAGCCCGAGCCAGAGGAGGAGGACTCGCTGACGGACTGGAAGGCACCTCTCCTGGACGAGAGTGGGAGCCCAAAGAAGGCGATCAAGGAGTTCTTCGACCTGGCGGAGGAGCGGTTGATTCGCAACTTCGGCATCAAGGACGGCGCCAAGTTCAAAGGCAGGGCGCAGGGGATCAAGAGGGTGCCCAAGCAGCTCATCCACCTCCTGCGCTCGGAGGAAGTGCGAAGGACCAGCCCGCTAACGCGCTGTTGGGTAGCCTTGGGGCGCCTAGCCACGCAGCTGGCGGCAGCGGCGTCGGTGCCCCACCCTCCGCCTGGGCACCACAAGCATGTCAAGCGGCTACAGGCGGCCGCCCTCGGTCTGGCCCCCAAGTTCGAGGCTGTGGGCTGCCAGATGTTCAGCGGCGCCAAGATGGCGACGATGCTGGCGGAGATCCTGGGCAGGACGCAGCAGGGGG